GTGTTGAGAAATGCTGAGTGTATGTTAGAATATATTGTTTGCTGAGAAGATGGCAAGGAAAACCCAGCTGCCCTAACCCCAGTGGAAAACTGCTTAGGGCATTCTAAAGTAGCAAAACAGTATATGTATATCATACACCAGTTAAAACAATTCTTTAAGTGCGGGATATCTGACCCTGCCCCCGTGGCTCCCTCGTGGAGAATACGTTTTAGTTTGTCCGTGATCAGCGGTGAGCAGGCACCAGCTGCCTACCTAGTTTGCTTTTGTTCTATGAGAAAACACCGAACACCTGTTTGTTAATAATAATCACCTGTTCAGAGAGACTACATGGGTCACAGTTTACTGGAGGCCCTAAGCCCAGAATGCTGTCAGCCCCTCAGGCTCTCAGCTTGGAAGGCTGTTGGCCCCTGGAGAGTCCCACATTGCTGTTCTATCTGGGTGTCTGCTTCTTAATGCCTTCAGCAACGCCTGGGTGGGGGTCTCTACAGGTGAGCTGGTCTCAGTACTGCTGGGAGGTATTTTCCAGCTCTTGCTATGATGTCCCAAAGGTACCCCTGGCTGCACAGTGGCCCGGCGTAGGAGATGCTCTCCTAGGTCTGCAGACCATGCACCATCAGTCACTTCACTAACGCCATGCCCTGGCATAATGAGCCATTGCCTTGATTGGACCCCAGGGTGTGACTTTTCAGTCCTTCCTTCCTTTCTTCCAGTGTTCTTTCTAAGAACATAAGAAATCTAGTCATAGTTCTTTGTCTTTCTCTGCTCATAAGATGATTGAGTTTGCTTTGGGGTCTTTTCTTTGTTTTTGTTCTCTGAAGTTATCTGGGGATGGGGGTGGAATATTCACAATCCAGCTTGTTTTTCCCTAATAGGAAAGAGTAAGTCAGCTTGACTACCATGGGGAGAAAATAAGATCCTTGGTGCGGCCCTGCACAGTGGCCCACACCTATAATCCCAGCACTTTGGGAGGCCAAGGTGAGAGGATTGCTTGAGCTCAGGAATTCCAGACCAGCCAGGGCAACACAGTGAAACCCCGTCTCTACAAGCAATACAATTAGCTGGGTGTGGTGGTGTGTGCCTGTAGTCTCAGCCACTCAGGAGGCTGAGCAAGGAGGATCACTTACTTGAGCCCAGAAGGTCAAGGCTGCAGTAAACCATAATTGTGCCACTGCACTCCAGCCTGGGCAGCAGAGTGAGATCCTGACTCAAAACAAACAAACAAACAAACAAAAAAACAAACAGCTGGGTGCCTGTAATCTCAGCACATTGGGAGGCTGAGGTGGCACATCACCTGAGGTCAGGAGTTCAAGACCAGCCTGGCCAACATGGTGAAACCCCATCTCTACTAAAAATACAAAACCGAGCCGGGCACGGTGGTGGGCACCTGTAATCCCAGCTACTCAGGAGTTTGAGGCAGGAGAATCGCTTGAACCCGGCAGGCAGAGGTTGTGGTGAGCTGAGATTTTGCCACTACACTCCAGTCTGGGCGACAGAGCAAGACTCCATGCCCCCACAAAAAAGAAGATTTTTGGTGCTTATTTTGCCATGATTATAAATTGTAAACATTTTTGAACAATCCTAACCGCGTGGAGTAAAACGTGAACTGGTTTTGTCTTTGTCTCCTTTCCCAGATATTCTCTTTCTCACTAGCTAGTGGACCCCTTAGCACCACCACCAGCTTTGATTCCATAACTTCCCGAACACCGTTAATTATTAAAGATGTTCTAGCTTCTCAAAGCTGTCTATTTTCCCAGCGTGTCAGTCTGTGGCTCAAAGGAACTACAGTGGTCGAGACAGGATCTTGAACCATTCTGGTTCTCTCCCTCCACCTTTCCTCAGAGTGCAAGGGCTGGATCACCTCTAGGATGCCGCCTCCTCTTCAGCCTCCAGGCTCTAGCTGCAATGGGTGTTGGGCCCCAACTCACAACCCTAACAAATCCCTTCTCTCCTCTCTGAGAGCATGGTGGGGTTGAGGGGGCTGGTTTGAGGCTATGGCTGCTGTTAGAAGGGCCAGCTCGGCCGGCACAGTGACTCACACCTCTAATCCCAACACTTTGGGAGGCCAAGGCAGGTGGATCACAAGGTCAGGAGTTCAAGACCAGTCTGAAATCCTATCTCTACTAAAAATACAAAAACTAGCTGGGCATGGTGGCACGCCTGTAATCCCAGCCACTCGAGAGGCTGAGGCAGGAGAATCGCTTGAACCCAGGAGGCAGACGTTGCAGTGAGCCAAGATGGTGCCAATGCACTCCACCCTGGGTGACAGAATGAGAGTTCATCTCAAAAAAAAAAAAAAAAAAAAAAAAAAAAAAAGAAGGGCCAGCTCGATCCCTTCAGTAAGCTGCAAGCGTGGTAGCATCCCAATTAGTGGCTGCCTTCTTTAGAATGTGGGGTACTTACCACGTTTTAGTCTCCAGCATTGGATCCTAAGCACCAATTTTGGGGCAAACAAAATCCCACTCATTAACCTGCTGCAAAATATAATGCCATCGATCATGCCTTCTTCTATTTCCCCCGCTGGGTTAGGCCACCAGACCCTGCTTCCATCAATGGGGATTACATTTCAATGTGAGAGTTGCAGGGAACAAACATCCAAACCATATCACTCACACACAGTTGCTTTGAGGGCTCACCAGAGGAATACCTGAGATTATGTAATTTATAAAGAAAGAGGTTTAACTGGCTCACAGTTCTGCAGGCTGTACAAGCATGGTGCCAGTATCTGCTCTGCTTCTGGTGATGCCTCAGGAAGCTTTTGCTGGTGGAAGGCAAAGTGTCACATGGTGAGAGAAGGAGCAAGAGAGAGGGAATAAAGTGCGGGGGAGGTCCCAGACTCTGTTAAACAACCAGACTCTTAAGCAACCAGCTCTTGTGTGAATAGAGTAAGAACTCACTGATTACCATGTGAAGGTCACCAAGCTTTTCATGAAGGATGCATCCCCATGACCCAAACACCTCCCACTAGGCCTACCTCTAACACTGGGGAATCACATTTCCACATGAGATCTGGAGGGGACAAACACCCACACCATAGCACCCACACACAGCTGCTGTGAGGGCTCACCCAGCCACACTTTCCTCCCATTGGATCTGCCCGTCGTTCCTTTGCTCATGCTAGCTGCAGTGACCAGGGACGTACAGTGAAGGCTGAGTTTCTGCCTTGGAGCAGGAAAATCTTCACTACTGACAGCAGGATAGCTTTATCCTTTTCAATAGTTTCTCTTCTCTTGAGTCTTGGATATGTATTTATGAGTGGGAAAAAATACCTTCAAAAGTTAACCACTTTGAATCCATCATCGTCAGAGCCTTTGTTTTAGCCAAACGTGATTCAATAACTTGAGTTCCACACAGAAGAGATTGCCCTTTCCAGAAAGCCACTGGTCTCTGCTCCCCAAATACCCAAACTGTGGGTTCCACTCTGCTATGTGACTACAAAGCCACGCCAGCTTATGCTCTATATTTCTCAGTCTATAGTGAAACAACTTCTCTTCTAACCACCTCCTCTTCAGAGATTTCTGCTACAGGTTTAGCATCTCTAATCTGAAAATATGAAATCCAAAATTCTTTTTTTTTTTGAGACAGGGTCTTGCTCTGTTACCCAGGCTGTAGTGCAGTCACATGATCATGGCTCACTGTGACCTTGACATCTCAGGCTCAAGCGATCCTCCCAAGTAGCTGGGACTGCAAGTGTGTGCCACTACACCGCTCTGACAATAACTTGATTTCAGTCCACTGAGACTGATTTTGGACTTTTTTACAAAATCGAAATAAAACAAATTTGTGTTGTTTTAAGCCACCACATTTGTAGAAATTGGCTGCAGCCATAGGAAACCACTACAGGCCTCCAGATAAGCTCAGGCGTGGTTGAAAAATCCTAGGGTGGGCTTGCTCCATCAGTTGCGTCAAGGCCAAGGTTGCTTAGGCTGTCAATGCTTTGCTCATGGACTCATTACTGGTCTGGGGCTTCATGATCTCACTCCAGGAATCTCATCAGCCTGTCTAGGGTCGGGTGTCCATCCCTTTTGCCCAGAGGATTAGAATGCCTTGATCGACCACACTCGAGTTGGGTCAATCAAGTTGAGTTGGAATCAGAGGGTGAGTTCATTCCTTTACTTTCATTGGGAAAGAATGAAGAAAGAACATTTTCTCAAAGAACAATGAAGGTGATATGACCAGAAGAAGAAACAAGAGATGCCAGGCAGGCATAAAACACAAATGTCCCTCCTTCTTCCTCCGCGTGTGGCTGGCGGTCACAGAGCAGTGAAGCTCACTGTCGATTTCCTTCGGGCTCTCCTTGCGTCACTGGAGCCCTGGTGTTGGCCGAGGCCTACGCATCGGCATCCTCCCTGCCCAACGGTGATTGTGGCCGCTCCAGGGCACGGCCTGGAGGAAACCGGGTGACGGTGGTGCTCGGTGCGCAGTGGGGCAACGAAGGCAAAGGGAAGGTGGTGGATCTGCTGGTGCAGGACGCCCACATCATGTGCCACTGCCAGGGAGGAAATAATGCTGGCCATACAGTTGTTGTGGATTCTGTGAAATATGATTTTCATCTCTTACTCAGTGGAATAATTCATCCAAATGTGACTGCATTCATTGGAAATGGTATGGTAATTCATCTACCTGGATTGTTTGAAGAAGCAGAGAAAAATGTTCAAAAAGGAAAAGGACTAGACGGCTGGGGGCAAAAGGCTTATTATATCTGACAGAGTTCATACTGTATTTTATTTTCATCAAGCAGCTGATGGTATCCAGGAACAACTGAGACAAGAACAAGCAGGAAAATATTTGGGTACAACAAAAAAGGGGAATTGGACCAGTTTATTCTTCCAAAGCTGCTCAGAGTGGACTTAGGATGTGAGATCTTGTTTCTGACTTCGATGGCTTCTCAGAGAGGTTTAAAGTTCTAGTCAACTAATACAAATCTATATACCCCATTTTGGAAATAGGCATTGAAGGTGAATTCCAAAAACTCAAGGGTTATATATGAAAGGACTAAGCCAATGGTGAGAGATGGAGTTTATTTCCTATCTGAGGCCCTACATGGACCACCAAAGAAACTCTTGGTAGAAGGTGCAAATGCAGCACTATTAGATATTGATTTTGGGACTTACCCTTTTGTAACCTCTTCAAATTGTACTGTTGGAGGTGTTTGTACTGGTTTGGATATGCCTCCTCAAAAGGTAGTAGAAGTTTATGGAGTTGTGAAAGCTTATACAGCTAGAGTTGGTATTGGCGCCTTTCCTACAGAGCAAGACAATGAAATTGGAAAATTATTACACTCAAGGGGTAGAGAGTTTGGTGTGACTACTGGAAGGAAAAGAAGATGTGGCTGGTTGGACCTCATTTTGCTCAAATATGCTCATATGATCAATGGATTTACTGCATTGGCACTTACCAAGTTGGATATTTTGGACATGTTTATGGAAATCAAAGTTGGAGTTGCTTACAAGTTAGATGGTGAAATCATACCTCATATCCCAGCAAACCAAGAAGTCTTAAATAAAGTTCAGTATAAGACTCTCCCAGGGTGGAACACAGACATATCAAATGCAAGGATGTTTAAAGAATACCTGTTAATGCACAAAACTGTGTTCAACTTATTGAAGATGAGCTTCAAATTCCAGTTAAATTGATTGGTGTTGGTAAATCCAGAGAGCCTATGATTCAGCTCTTTTAATGATTGCCAGTAATGCAAGAAACACTCCTTCAGAGGGAGGGGAAAAGACTTTCTTAAATATTTCATTTATCACCTGCAAATTTAAGAATAAAGACATTGAAGTGAGTTGGTAAAACCTCCAGTTGTTTCCAGTCTTTTCAGATGGATGCCTGTTGTGGAGATTAACTTCGGCATATTCCAGTATCAGCTTTCCTTAGCTGGCGTAATCACCAAATCATTTGTTGCTCCTGCTGCTCTCATGGTACCATGTTTCTTTTTTTAATGTTTAGTAATAGTATAATCCATGTTGTTTGAAATCTAAAGAAGAATTACTTTTAATGTAGTTTTTATTCATTATTGTCATTGTGTGTTCTTAAGTTTTACCCCTATTTTAGATGGTAAGAACAATTAATGCAGTTTTGCACAAATATTTTCCAATTCTGATCATTCAGTTCTGTCATAATCTTTGTTGTTAGAAACAAAAGATGAAAACATAGGGGTTCCGTAAACTTTTAAGAAGTTGAAACCCTAAATAGACCAATAAAAAGGGCTGAAGTTGAGCCACCAAAAAAAAGCCCAGCTCTAGATGGCTTCACAGCTGAATTCTAACAGACATACAAAGAGGAGCTGCTATCACTCCTTCTAAAACTATTCCAAACAATCCAAAAAGAGGGAATCCTTCCCAAATTATTTTATGAGACCAACATCATCCTGATACCAAAACCCGGCAGAGACTCAACAAGAAAAGGAAACTTCAGGCCAATATCTATGATGAACATAGATGCAAAAATATTCAATAAAATACTGGCAAACCAATTGCAACAGCACATCAAAAAGCTTATCTACCATGATCAAGTAGGCTTCATCCCAAGGATGCAAGGCTGGTTCAACATACACAAGTCTATAAACATAATCCACCACATAAACAGAACGAAAGACAAAAACCACATGATTATCTCAATAGATGCAGAGAAGACCTTTGACAACATTCAACAGCCCTTTATGCTAAGGACTCTAAATAAACTAGGTATTGACAGAACGTATCTCAAAATAATAAAAGCTATTTATGACAAACCCACAGCCAATATCATAGTGAATGGGCAAAAACTGGAAGCATTGAAATCTGGCACTAGACAAGGATGCCCTCTCTCACCACTCCTATTCAATATAGTATTGGAAGTTCCAGCCAGAGCAATCAGGCAAGAAAAAGAAATAAAGGGTATTCAATTAGGAAAGGAAGAAGTCAAATTGTCTCTATTTGCAGACAACATGATTGTATATTTAGAAGACCCCATTGTCTCAGCCCAAAATATCCTGAAACTGATAAGCAACTTCAGCAAAGTCTCAGAATACAAAATCAATGTGCAGAAATCACAAGCATTCCTATACACCAATAACAGACTTAAAGAGAGCAAATCAAGAATGAACTGCCATACACAATTGCTACAAAGAGAATAAAATATCTAGGAATACAACTAACAAAGGATGTAAAGAACGTCTTTAAGGAGAACTACAAACTACTGCTCCAGAAAATAAGAGAGGACACAAACAGATGGAAAGCATTCCATGTTTATGGTTAGGAAGAATAGATATTGTGGAAATGGCCATACTGCCCAAAGTAATTTATAGATTCAATGCTATCCCCATCAAGCTACCTATGCCCCTCTTCACAGAACTGGAAAAAACCACCTTAAACTTCATATGGAACCCAAAGAGAACCTGCATAGCCAAGTCAATTCTAAGCAAAAAGAACAAAGCTGGAGGCACCACACTACTGTACTTCAAACTATACTACAAGGCTACAGTAATCAAAACAGCATGGTACTGGTACAAAAACAGAGATATAGATCAATGGAACAGAACAGAGGCCTCGGAGGCAATGCCACACATCTACAACCATCTGATCTTTGACAAACCTGACAAAAACAAGAATGGGGAAGGGATTCCCCGTTTAATAAATGGTGTTGGGAGAACTGGCTAGCCATGTGCAGAAAGCAGAAACTGGACCCCTTCCTGATACCTTACACTAAAATTAAATCCAGATGGATTAAAGACTTAAACATAAGACCTAACATCATAAAAACCCCAGAAGAAAATCTAGGCAAAACCATTCAGGACTTAGGCATCAGCAAGGACTTCATGACTAAAACACCAAAAGCATTGGCAACAAAAGCCAAAATAGACAAATGGGATCTAGTTAAACTCCAGAGCTTCTGCACAGCAAAAGAAACAGTCATCAGGGTGAACTGGCAACAAACAGAATGGGAAAAAATTTTTACAAGCTACCCATCTGACAAAGGGCTAATATCCAGAATCTACAAAGAACTAAAACAGATTTACAAGAAAAATAAACAAACAAACCCATTCAAAAGTGGGTGAAGGGTATGAAGAGACACTTTTCAAAAGAAGACATATATAAGGCCAAAAAACATATGAAAAAATGCTCATCATCACTGGTCATTAGGGAAATGCAAATCAAAACCACATTGAGATACCATCTCACGCCAGTTAGAATGGCAATCATTGAAAGATCTGGAGACAACAGACGCTGAGAGGATGTGGAGAAATAGGAACACTTTTACACTGTTGGTGGTAATGTAAATTAGTTCAACCATTGTGGAAGACAGTGTGGTGATTCCTCAAGGACCTAGAAATAGAAATTCCATTTGACCCAGCAATCCCATTAGTGGGTATATATCCAAAGGATTATAAATCATTCTGTTATAAAGACACATGCACACGTATGTTCATTACATCACTGTTTACAGTAGCAAAGACCCAGAACCAACCCAAATGACCATCATTGATAGACTGGACAAGGAAAATATGGCAGATATACACCATGGAACACTATGCAGCCATAAAAAACAATGAGTTCATGTCCTTTGTAGGGACATGGATGAATCTGGAAACCATCATTTTCAGCAAACTGACACAAGAATAGAAAATCAAACACCATGTTCCCACTCATAAGTGGATGCTGTACAATAAGAACACATGGACACAGGGAGGGGAGCATCACACATTGGGGTCTGTTGGGAGGGACTAGGGGAAGGACAGCAGGGAGTAGGGAGCTGGGGAGGGATAACATGAGAAGAAATGCCAGATACAGGTGACGGGGATGGAGGCAGCACATGACATTGCCATGTATGTACCTATGCAACAATCCTGCATGTTCTGCACATGTACCCAGAATCTAAAGTGCAATAAAATATATTTTTTTAAAAAAGAGAAAGATTAAAAAAAAAAAAAGGTCAAAAACAAACAAACAACAATAACAAAACCCCCACAAACGTCCATTATGGAGAATGAGGGAACCGGGAATAAGAATTTTGCAGTGGTTTTATTGGAATATTAAAGCAACCCTGGATACCACATTTATTATAAAGAATTCTACCCTTCAGCCCAAAATATAGTGAGATTTTATTAATTTGCTTTATATCATTTGCTCAAATTAAAGGATTGAAGATTCTGGCAGGCACATTGTGATACATGTCTCTGGTATCCTTTATGTGTAAGAGACAACAGAGGTCTTATAATGCCTAGAGGCAGAGCCCTGTGGTGTGACTGGAATGTTTCCTGTTTAACAAAGTCTGTTTTATCTAAGCGTTACTGTTCCCATCCGCAAGGCAGCAAATGACCTCGATCGTTGTGCTTTCAAACCAGCCTCAAAAATAATGCCCACGAAGCAGACAGTTAGAGAGCCCCTTCTAGAGAGGGGCTATTAATAGGCTTCAATAGGAAAAGTTCAAACACATGCAGATCAGGAAAAAAGAAAGTGACCCAAATGAAAGGTCTGAGATGTAAGAGGGAATCATGCACAAACACAGTGGTAAATATGCAGGCACATCAAGCAAAATTCAACTGAACAAAATTATTAATAATGTACAAATTGTGGGGTTAAAAGAAAAGAGACTTAAAATACTGGGTAGCATTGGCATACACATTGGGAAGAAGAGGATCAGAGTAAAAGTATTCTCGGGTTCTTAGATGACTCATGAGGAGAATAAAATTATTAACTTTTGAAATGGTAAAATATTTATGCTCTTGTATTTAGGGTAACCAATGAAAAACAGACATAGTATAACTTACAAGCAGAGGGGGAGAAACTGAAAAACAAAAGAACAAAAAACAAACCTAATTGAATCCAAATTTGTTGACAAGCAGAGAAAAAAAAAGAACAGAAAAAGTGGGAAACCAGTACAAAATAAGATGGTAGAATTAAATTCAAATATATCAGTAAACGCGATAAATGAAGTGAGTGACATCCTTCAGTTAAAAGACAAATTAAGTCAGAGAAAGGGCCAGGCATGGTGGCTCACGCCTGTAATCCCAGCACTTTGGGAGGCTGAAGTGGGTGGATTGCTTGAGTTCAGGAGTTTGAGACACTGTCTCTAGAAGCAATACAAAAATTAGCTGGGTGTGGTGGTACATGCCTGTGATCCCAGCTACTCAGGAGGCTGAGGCAGGAGGATCACTTGAGCCCAGGATGTTGAGGTTGCAGTGAGCCGTGAGCATGGCATTGCACTCTAGCGAGTGACAGAGTGAGACCCTTCCTCAAAAGAAAAAAGAAAAAAAGAAATAGATAAAATCTAGCTCTAGGCCATTTATACAACACAAACCTAAATCATAAGGATGCATAAGGCTCTCAACTCAGAAAACTATCAACTCTCTGAGAGCCTCACTTCTGCGCTCTATCTCTATTTCCTAATTTCTTTCTTTTTTTTTTTTTTTTTGAGACAGAGTTTCACTCTTGTTACCCAGGCTGGAGTGCAATGGCGTGATCTCGGCTCACCGCAACCTCCGCCTCCTGGGTTCAGGCAATTCTCCTGCCTCAGCCTCCTGAGTAGCTGGGATTACAGGCATGTGCCACCATGCCCAGCTAATTTTTTGTATTTTTAGTAGAGACGGGGTTTCACCATGTTGACCAGGATGGTCTCGATCTCTCAACCTCGTGATCCACCCGCCTCGGCCTCC